ATGATATTATTCCACTATGAATGTGGTCGAGCCTGGCGACTCTCGAAGCAATCTACCAACAGCAACTACTTATTTTGTTTTTCCTGAAGTTCACTGCACAAATAGCACTAACAATTCTTTATGTTGGCTTTATCGCTCCTGAAGTGGCTCCAACTCCATCTACGTGAAACAGCTGGGAGTTTGCGTTATCATCATGCTACTTAGCGCATCAAATACACATTGCTTCATCACCAGCTGCATCGGTCAAATTTATCAGACGTCACTGTTACTGTACTGCTTTTCGGTCAAAATCAGATCGTGCGTCAATTTCCGTGATTTTGTAAATTTTCCCAATCGCTTTCTCTTTTCAAACAGCAAAAAGTAAAATGAGACAATTTGTACTACCGTCTCGTTACTCTCGGACCCGTGAGCTGGATTCACCGACCATGAATACGTGTACCGGACGTCGGGTTCGAGGCCGGAAATGCGGACTTTCAATATTGTATGCATTGGAAAAAACTCACTACGCCCAGAAAAACGCAGAACAGTCTGTGCAAGATGAAGTACTGCCAAACCAATGACAACCGCTTCCGCGGATGGTTGGGCCAGCATGACACTTTCTTGCGACTGGAGCACTCACTTGCTGTATCACACGTAAAATAAATGTGCATTTTTCGTGAGCATGCCAGATTATTTGCAAGGGGTATAGCAACGCGATGTCCTTCACACCGTTGTCGCCAAAGCCAGACGCCTGCCGAACTTTCAGATTTTTATAGTCCCGGGCCCGCGATTATGAAAATGAAGAGTTTCTCTATCAACATCGCCGTTGTGTGACAAGCAGTCAAGCCTGTTCACTTCTTGTGGTCGCACAACTGGTTTGTACAGCAAATTTTAGAAGCAGTATCATGGCGCTTCACCTTTCATAACAAAAAGCTTACATCTCAGGCACAAACGATTGCCGCAGGGATGCAAAGAGAAACGGACGCTGTCATGCTCAGCATGCCTTTAGAAGTGATAAGTAGCAAGAGCTCTTCCTGGTTTCATAGCAGTGTGTAGTGCTGGCAAGCACCAGCGGTACTCGACTTCCAGGGAAAGGTCCTTGTCACCTTGTCAACCTTGTCAGATGCCCACTCATACCAGCTCGCTTCAGTTTCTCTTGGACCCGGGTGACCTGGGAAGCAGACGCGCAGGCGCACGCGGCCGGGACTCGGCCTTCCGTTGGGGCCGACGCTATTGAGAAGTGGCGAATCAGACGGGTAACCCTCCAGAGATTCGAACCATTCGTGGAACCCTTGTCGACTCAGGGGCCACACAGGGTCGTACATCAGAATACCAGTCAACGTCACGGACCCCTTTTTGCTATCTCTCTCAACGACCGCATTCGCTCCAAAAGACAGCGGGCCCTTGTTATCAAGAACCCGGTCCTCGGAACTAGTTGCAGCAGCAAAATCATGTGCATTCGTGGGTTTCTGTCCGTGTTGCTGCATCCACTGCTCCGGCCCCGCGGCGGCTGCGACAGGCCATGAGCCGGTAATTGCGCTTGGTGTTTCACCACGACTGCTGTAGTACTCCCGACCCCCGGGATTGAAAGGTGCAACGCCCGCGTCCCCCGCATTATAGTAGGGCGAAGTAGTTGTGTTGGAACGGATCACTTCATCTGCCTGTGCCACACGCCCGCCGGAAGAAGATGCTGGAACAGAACCTTCCACTACTGACGTGCGCCCCGCCCTCACAGATTCATGTCCACCGCTAGCTGACTCGGCATACCTCCTTTGACCACTACCCTTGTATCCAATGTCAAATCGACCTCGTTTCAACTTGTAATGCGCGCACGGTCGAATCTGAAACACTGGCTGTTCGATCGTGTTTGTGATGCCATAAGTAATCTGCATTTACAAATTGATGCTGAGGGTGATTTTACAAAGCATACGCGAACCCAGGTTTTGAAAGCGGAAACTCCAAGCAGCGGTGTGAATGCGCCGCTGCTGGGCGATCCAACGAGAGCGATCGCCCATCCCCACTGCAGGACACCCGATTTGAGAATGCGGTGGCCCGTTCCCACCTTTTTTGCCTTCCTGTTTTCAACCGACATGATCGCTGCTGCCACCACCGTTCTTCCGAAGATTACGCGCAGGAATAGACCGTGGAATGAACTGGAGCCGCGATAGATATCTGCAAACAGAGATGAAAACCCGAAAATTCACCCCAATTCGATATCGCGTGTAGAGCAGAGACGACGTGTGGGTCCCCGATATTGAAAATACGAAATGCGTGGTATTAATGCATGGATATGGAAATCAATTTTCACCAGATGAATGGCTTCGGGCAAACGACAACTTTCCAAGCCGCGTTTTTCTGTCACAAATGTGTGTGCGAGCCCGAATTTGGAATTGGCGAATCGCGCTTCAGGATGTAATTGTTGAGCTCTAAGGATACAAAGCTCACGAGCAAAGTAAAGAGATACACGAAATAGTGTGAGAGGTCCTGGCACATACAAGAGCAAAAAGCGACTTTTCTGAAGTCTAAGTCACAAAGCTACTGTGTAAACGCTTACACTGGTAGCAACAATGACGACTTCTAATGGGAGCACTTCTTGATGCCTAAGCTTCCTGGAGGTGAATACCTCGATCAAGAGTAGAAATCCAACTACTTAAACGCCAAATAAGTAAATCGGAAACTCTACAGCTCCCAGATACTGTAAGTATGTATGTACTCCGACCTAAGCCAGCGTCCTGCCTTTGAAAAAAAGATTGCGAGTTGTTAAGGTCGCATCTATGAAGACATTCGACATCTGCACGATGTGAGTCTCAAGTTATCAGGGTCAATAATAGCAAGCACGTCTTGCTGCAGGTACTTCTTAGCAGGAGAATTAGGATCCTTCGCACTAGCTAAGCTCAGTGCTATCGCAGCCGGAAAAAACAGACAGTGATATTTTCACTGATCTTTACGACTCGGAAAGGACGAGCTTAGCGACATGGCTTTTTCGGGAGGTGGAGACCCATTATCGATCTGCTGCTCCCTGTCACAAAATGCCTTCTAATACAACGACTTCGATGCCTGGCACAGGGTGCCAAGGCTTCGACGCTTTGCAGTTACTAGTTTGGACGCTGCTCCTGCGTCTGCTCACAAGATCACCGTCTGTGATGCGAGTGGCTACGTTAGATTGGAGATCTTGAAAAGAGCAGGGATAAGATTAAGACGAGCCCTTTGCTGACTTGTCTGTTGTACTATGCGAAAACTACTTCTTTGTACGGTCGCAGCAGCGGAACTATTACTTCATGATCAGTCTCAGGAGAATTCCTTTCTCGTGCCGCAAACGAACTCGGCCTCGCGGTACTCAAACTAAAAACTAGATCATCCAGTCGCCGAGGTAGTAGTGCTAGCCGTACGGGCAAAATAAATAGATCAATCTGCTTCAACTGTTCTCCTCTGATTTAGGTTATCGCCATGATGTCATCTTCACCATGCATGATAGATATGATCTAATTCAACGCGTGACAGCAAAAGATCTACGTCTCGCTGTGATCTACGTCTCGCTGTGCTGGTAAAAGTTGAAATAAGATCGCTGCTTCTGTTCCTGTTCTAAGGCGATTTGTAGCCGACGCTTTGAGTGTTTCCGGCTGTGATATTAAGGTGAGACTTCTTCTAAACGATCAGAGCCACGGAGCTTTTTTCGTTTTAACGCGAACTAAAATGTGGGTGGCCGCATCATCGTGCTACGCCTGCACGATAAACGGACCTACAAAATGGGCGTGATATAATTTCCGCTGGGCTAGGAAGTTCCAGATCGTAAATTACCGACAGCAATCTGTCGATGGAAATAACAAAATAGATCAGGGCCTGCGCGGCGGGGAGATCGATCATGTAAAACATAGCATAACACGGACTACAAAGAGCTGCGCATGATCAAAGCCAAACTGTAACTCCTAGATCTATTCACCGGCCGCGGGCATGATCTCAGGTGTTCGATATTTTTCATTCTCGATGCCTCCTTTCCTCGAGAAATGACTGCCACCAGAGGAGGCGCTCCTGGTGTGAAGCCTGCCACATCTCGGGCACGCACCTAGCCGACGCGCCACGGAATCAAGGTGGGAAATCGAGCAAAGACGAAACCATTTCGACAGTTTGTTTCATTTCAGTTTTCTTCCCTCGCATCAGAATTATCCACGTGCAAAACTTGCGTTCAAATTATTTTTTTCGTAGCTTCGTCTTGGTTTCTATCCTGTTAAAGTAAAACCATCATACAAGAATTGCGATGTCATGAAAACTGCCATCGGCTCAACGGAAATCTATCTATCATCCACCAAGTCCTCCATGCTTTTTTGCCGTTGAGCGATTATCTTACTCATATTTCGATTGAAGTGCCGGTGCCTCGCTGCCCTTTACCAACGCAAAGTTGCAGGAAGCCGGTTGCTGCGTAGTTGTCAGCAATGAGAACGCTCGTCCAACCAGCTCCGGTCTGCTCATTCGAGGTCCAATCGCACATCAACGGCCACGATTTTAGAATTATTCGAGAAACCGCTTCTGCAGGTTGTATTTTTCTCCCAGACTTAGATCTCGTAGTGGCAGTGGACGTGGGAAATGTGCTCTTAGGCGCTCGAAGAAAGACGCGCCTCTGCCGTACTCAGGAACGTCGCTTTCTCGGGCGTTTTGAATGATTCAGGAAGTCGCAATCGCAGAAACCGTTCCGGGGGACTGTACTGCTCGCTCGTCTGCCAGGTCACTTCCGGCGCGGCGCTCTTCCGGCTTCGCTCGTACATAGACCATACGCCAACATGGCATGGTGGGCATCTTCTGCGTGCGAGCTCCGGACAATTCATTAAAGCGAAACCCACTAAATTTCCTATTTCTAACGGCTCGCCACACAGGTTCAAGAACGCATCTTGGACTTCAAGCGAGGCCCGAACGGCTTTCGGAAACAGGTAGTACAAGTCTACACCAGCATCGGTTTCGCGCAGCGCTGCAAGTGCGTACTGCTCTGCGTCCTCTTGATCGGAGTAGAAGGGCGAATTCCCATCCTCCAGGTTCATGTTGAAAAAGAAATCGGCGCAAAACATCGGATTTTCGGATTTGATTCCCGCTAAAATGACGTCCCGGTCCAGGTTGCGCCTACTCCGAGTGACGGTTTCCACGTAGAACTCTCGCTGGACAAATGGATCGTTTCGCATCACCTGTGGGATTTCATCCAGACCCTTTGGCACTTTGCCGGGGTAAACCAAACCAACAGAATTGCGCAGTTTCGGCAAGGTCAGGTGCACAATCGAGGGAACATCAGCAACTAGCGGATGAATGTGCTCGTGGTTTGCTATACCAAGGCGGAGCGCAGCCTCTAGTAGTTCCAAGTCGTTGCACGGGTTGTCGATTGTATATGGCCAGTAAGTCTTCAGGAAACGCTTGTCTTCGTAGGGTGGCGTGGTCGGCTCAACATCCAACTGCGCCGAGTGCGAGAGAAGCATCTCTCTGATCAGGTAGTTATGGACAAGAAGTAAGAAGACCCACATTGACATTCCCCATGGTTTATTTATATACACGTAATTTGTCACGCAGCTATCGCGGATAGCACGATCCATGCCATTTCTGTATGTAACACATCGAATGTCGATAGAAGAATCCTGGCACCTGCGCTCTGTCCTGGGTTTTTTTCACACTCCAGCGCGAGCGCGAGGCGTGTTGACGCAAAGCGGGCTGCCGCATATGCTCTACCCATCAGAGAAGTGATAAGAAGACCAAGCCGAGATACTAGGAGTGTAATCAACACAAGAGATGCAGAACATTGAAGAAATGTATTGTAACACGTGTCGGGAAGGTGAACGCTTCGCTTCCTTTCATACGCAGCATCGCTTTGCAGTGTCTCCGGTGCGTGGTGCAACAAACCGCCCGACTTCATCGCTATCTTGACGAAGTGTCTGTCGCTTCGGAAGGCCGGTGGGAGGAACTCGAGGATTTTTCCGTCTAGCTGCAGTACTTTCTCTGCAATGCCAGGGTAGTCTGCCATCTCCGAAGAAAGAAATTTCAAGAGCGACGGGTACACCAGTAGTGCCCGCAAAGATAGATCCGGCCTTGCCTGTCCTTGCAGCAAGATGCCCTGCACACCTTCTTTGTCAGCATTCCAAAATACTTCGGCACATGTGTCCTCCATGAGTTGGACTATGAATTCAGGATCTTGGCGAAGGTTGGTTCCGGCAAAAAGGAGGGCGTCATGATTTTGTGCAACTGCGGCTTTTACAATTTCCTTGTTTTGGCGAAGCCGTGGACTCGCATGCTCGAGGGCTAGTCCATCAAGTTGTACGCAACGACGCACTACTTCTTCTGAGTCACGAACTCGATGCTGCAGAGGCGATTCATACTGCAACACCAAGGCTGACAGCTCTTCCGGAACACTGTCGTACTCCTCTTCTTGAACGTCATCAAAGCGGGCTGCTAGACTTGGATTCGTGAAAGATTCCCACTCACCGAAGTTGAGTGGTTCTATGCTGTGGGGGTAGTAGTGGTCCTGTCGGTAGCATACTGCATTACAGACGTGCTCACCGTCACCGCAGAAGTCACTTATTTGAATGTAACGCTGCATCAAGCATGCTTGCCTGCGTATGGTTTCATCGCGCTCGTGATAGCAAATCCGCTTGCCCTTCGAAGAACAAGGCCAAGGCTTGGCCTTGTTTTTCAGCAGCGCCAGTGAGCAGGAAGAGCACTTGTTTTTGATGCGCGGAACGACATCGTCTACTGCATTTGTCTTGAGTGGTTCCGAGCAGCAGCTCTGAGGTTGAGTTCCGGCTAGCATAGGTGTACTTCTCGGCAGTTGGATGTGCCAATCCGTACGCAGCATCGGACTGGCTCCGTCCAAAAGCTTTTGCAGGAGGGCTTGATCGCATCGGAAGTCGTCATTGGTCACAAATCGAAGTGCGTATGGGTTTTCGCGGACGGCGTCGGCGACTATGGGTTTGTCGACAAGCTCAGGAACACAGTACTTGAGTGCAAGACCGTTTGACCGGACTGCGGTCCGTAAGAGCTCCTTGGTCTGATTCTCAGTGTATGCAGTTGCCGCCGTGCGTCATTTTCTCTCGTGCAGGAGTCCCCTTGCGTGCCCAAAGCCAAAGCCGGTCGCAACGTCACTTCATTCCGTGCTTTCTTGCATTTTTCTGGAAAATACTCGTAATCGTATACATACTGCAACAAATAAAAACTTTCTGCTTCGCCAAGCATATATTCCTCGCTTTGATGTCTGGCACACGCATGCTGGGCTCCAGCTGCGAGATGCATGGCTATGGCTTTTTCATAATGAGTTGAAAAACTTAAGAGCTGGAACTCCGTCTTTCTGGGCCGCGGCTATGGCAAGCTCGGTGGAGTTTCGATGTTTTTCGGGGACGTAACGCAGGACCCAAGGTTTGTGCGAGATGGCCGTCCGAATGAGGCCTTGATGCTCCTGCAGCTCGCTCCGGAGGTATTTGTACGCCCAACCATTTTGATTGATCGCTGATAGGGCAATAGCCAAGTACTGAAGTGAGGAACGGATTGGCACGCTTGCAAACCGAAGGGACCGCCAGTCCTTTCTGACAGCAACTTCAACTACTTCTGCATCGTTGCGAAGAGCCGGCGATGCGTATCGAAGAGCAAGGCCATTAATGTCGCACGCGAGTAGTGCAAGGGGCTTGCTTTCGCGAAAGAGGGCTTCACTGTCTCCCATCTCGATCCGCTTGGCATTTGATGATGCGTACCAGAGGAGCGACGATTCCACTGTCAGTTTCACGAGCTCTTCACGAAACTCCCAATCTAAGGAGCCGAAAATCAGATCTTCGCCAAAATGTGGATACATGTCTTGAATGCTGTCTCCGACCGAAAAACTCGCCCGTCTTCATACCATAATCCTAGAAATGGAATGCTTTGTAAATAAAAGTTACTTTTTTTTTTAGATAAAAGAACCTGGTCGACAAATCTACCAATTTGTGGTCGACAAATCGACCAATTTGTTATAGAATCTGGAATCTCTGAGATAAGATGTCGTCATACATCAACAGAAGTCTTGATGATGATGCAAACCTCAAGTCGCAAGATGAGAGATTTTAGCTTTGGATTTGAGAGGGGAGTTCCTCCTCGTGGATATTTTTTCAACCAGGCACATGCCGCCTAGCTGAAACGTACGGCAACGACATCCACCATCAAAAATATTATTATCGGCGTCGTCCGGAAGATCGTAATCATCCCAGGTATCGTCTTCAGCTTCGCTATCAGCTACAACATCTTCTTCGTCAACAGGGTAGTTGAACTCGTCAATATGTTTCTTTCTCAAGAAACGCATGTCCCCCGCAGAGATGCGCTGCAGATGGGCGCGAGCGAATTCGAGCGCTTGCTGAGCACGACCATCGAAGACGACCTGAATTTCGCAAGCTTTCTCCTCGTCAGCGGTCTCGCCGGTTGGAATCGGGAAGCGTCCGTCCCATACTATGCACCTTTCTTCATCTTCGTCCTTCAAAAATGTAGAAGTGCTGCTCGAACTCATGGCTTTCTTTACACTCTTGGTCTCACCCTCAGCTTCCTGACCATGCCCATGGGGCCCAACAGACGTAGTCGCCACTGTAATTGGCTCGGATGCTTCTTCATCACAGCGTCCCGAAAAGCTGGAGCGAACTTTTTCAACGATTTCTGTTGGCAAAACAACTCCTTGACCAGCCAATGAAATTTCTGCACCGCTTCGAACTGCAACCAGGTGGGTTTTCACTTCGCGGAGCAAAATCTGTTTTTCGTCTCTTGGCACTATAATAGTTCCCAAGGTGTTTCCGCCAAGATCGCTCACTTTCACTTGCTTGCAGGAAGCGGTTTCTAATACCTTTGCATCTGGCTCTGTTCCGTGGGGAAAAAACATGTTTCTTGTCCGCAGGTGAGCGTCCGCGCCGAGGAATGCGTGAACACCAGGAGCCATGCTGATGAGACTTTGATGATGATTAGTTCGAGCGGGGCTCGGCACAACTCCCTCCTCCGACGCGCGGCAGGAATAGCCTGCCCTGATACCCTGAGACTTTCTCTATCGAATGTGTGAAATTAAAAGTCAATTATGTGTGTGAGGATTTGCTTCTGTAGCGACTAGCGCAGCATACGCAACGCGGCCACTGATGGGGTGTTCCGTTTCTGATCTGCGCATTGAGTTTTTGCTTCGCCTCATTTGAATGGGATGCATCGGGACTCTTGCCAAAAAAGTTATGTGTTGCACCAAGATTTTTGTCTATGCAGAAGATTGTGACTTGATCATCGAAGATGCGCTGGACGTCGACGTCCTTCAATTTGGAAGCATCTTTCGAAGGTCACACCTGTCACTACCCAATGGTCCAAGTACGCACCCGACTAGTTGCTTTTATATTTTTGATCAATGACAAATTTATAGAGCATACCGGGCAACTAGAGTTTTACTTTATTTCAGAAGCGTGATTGACGAGGCAATTTTACGATGTGCAGGCACTGAAACCGCACGAAAAAGCTTCAACACAAAACTCGACAGTTTTCGCAACAAAAAACAAAATTTGGTTTTCAACAATACCGCTCGGGGTCGGGCGCTGCCCTACTACTGGGCGGTCGCGCTAACATCAGGTCTTTAGCACTTTGTTACTTCCGCTTTGGTTTTGGAGGAATCTAAGCGCAATAAATGTCTATCGGAGGTTCTGATTTGTTGACAGGCGACGAAACTGACGAAACTGGTGTTGCTGGTATATATCAAGAAACTTTCAGGGTGTTGCATATCGAAAATTTTCCACGGGTCATTGAGTTTATTTTATTTTCAACAGAGAGTCAGCGCGTCTGGACATATAAGATTTTAGTTCTTGAAGAGAAGTAGTCTGCTTCGTGTGTGTCTGTTTAGTCACAAGAAATGCAAGCACTTTGCTCCCGACGGAGCAGCTTCGCACTAATGAAAGAAATAAGTACATCGCTCTTGCTGTTTTTGCCAGGTAGTCGCTTTTACATGTTTATGTCACCAGTGTGGGAATCTGACGGAAGTCAGCGAGATAATGAGTTGTTTTCTGCTGGATTGAAAGACAAGGCACAAGTTTCAATCGCAGCAAAAAGCCCAAGGAAAGACGCCACCCTACGAAAAGAAGGAATAGATGTATGTAGAAAACTTGGTTAGAGAAGTTAGCGAGAAAAAAATTGGTAACGCGTTGCATTTCGAGCCGAGTAGGCCTTTGCACCATTTCCGTAGTCGATAAATACTGCGTTGCTGCTTAAACGACATATTATATTCTCGCTCCGGGAAGATGCGCCACGGAGTGTCAAACTTTGGACCGAAGCTAAAAAAAAGATCATGATCAACCCGGGACAATGTGACCCGAGTCGATTCTACGTAATTTTCCGTGTTGATAAACCGCAGGAGCGGTCGACTGTCGACGCTTCCTTTCAGCACATTCATTTGCACGCAATTCAAAGGGGTTCCAAGAAAGACACTCAACAGCGCAAGCCTCTTTCCATGCGGAAAGCAGGTGTTCATGAATATAAATATGTTTCGTGCCGCACTCCGTCCCGGACAAGGATGGCCTGAAAGGAACTGGATTACAATTTGGGAAAGTCTTGTCCGATTCCAAAGTCGCCGCGGCATTGGAGATGAGGGATACGTAGCTGCACTACTGCAGAGATTCTCTTCTGGTGGGCAAGACCGCGTCGCCCGAACGATCTTGCTCCGGGCCAGAAAACTATTTGACGGATTGTTTCGCCGGCGATTCGAGCTGGTCTGGCACGATAGGCACAACGCCGGTGAACGCTGCTCGAAACACTGCAGCTAAAGCATCTTCGCTCACGTAGGGCGCTCCGTTTTTTTGTGTTCTCTCGTTACTCGTGCCACTACGAGCAGTAGTGCTGTTGGCTTTATCCGAAATAATGTCGTTCACACACGGGAGTAGCTGATTTGCGAAGGTGCGATACAGGCCGCTTTCCTCGCGGGAGGGCTTTCCTGCGCTGGGCGCGACATCGAGTGACCATGCCGACGTGGTGAAATCTGAAGGGCCTGACACTTCTGCGCTTGTTGCGCCCCCATCGATTGAAGATGGTCTCGAGGAAGATGGTGCGGAGACATGGGTCGCGCGCTGCTGCTGCCGAGACGTGCCCCTGCTGTGGAAACTTGGTTCGCTGCTGCGAAGTCTATTTTTGCGCCTCCTCCTGTGCGCCTCCTCCTGCTTTCCTCGCAACAGTTGCAGGTGTCGCTCCGGCTGTTCCTGCCGCTGCAATGCCTGGCGTTGTTGATGTGTCGGATGTTGCAGCTGTTGCTGCATTGGGTCCTCGGTGTTCTCAGTTCGGACCTGGTCGTGCGTTGAGGCCTGTTGCTGGAACTGTCGCTGCACCTGCTCTTCTTCGGCTGGCTGGCTATGCGTTCCTCCTAGGTGCTGAGTTTCTTGCTCCATCTGGCCCCCATCGGCGTTCGGCTGGTTATCCGGTGTATGTTGCTGGAGCTGTCCCTCCGTCTCGTCCGGGGCGCTCTCCTCCAAGGTGACTTGTTGCTGTGCCAGCTGCTGGCGCTGAGGCTGACTCACGTGCAACGTAGCTGCGTCCTGTGTGTGGTGCTGTAGCTGTTGCTCCGTCTGCTCGATCCCCTCCTCGGCGGTTTGCTCCAACGTGACTTGCTGCTGTGCCAGCTGCTGGCGTGGACTCGCGTGCGACGTAGCGATAGTGTCGTGCTGTGCGTGGTGCTGTAGCTGTTGGTCCGTTTCGCGCCCCTCCTCGGCGGGCTGCCTCAAGGTGACTTCTTGCTGTGCCAACTGCTGGCGCTGAGCCACCAGCGACGCAGCCTGTTGCTGTCCCTGCTGCTGACGCTGGGCCTGCTGCGAAATGGCTTGTTGCTGTACCCGCTGCTGTAGACTGGCTTGTTGCTGGGGCTGCTGCTGAGTATTTTGCGTCTGTGTCTGTCGGACCTGGGCCTCGTGCAAGTCAATGGCCGCCACTGCAGAGGCTGGGTCTGCAGTTGCTGTAGCCACTGCCAAAGGTGCGCCTGAGACGGCAAGACCAGACGGCCCCATATTAGAATTCGTAACCCAGTTAGTGTGCCCGCTGTCATGATTCTCACTCCCACCATGGTGCTCTTGATGC